TCAAAAATAAAGAATATGCATCTAATAACTCATCGTGAAGAGAAAAGTGTAGATAACATGCCTGATGTATTAGAATCTTTCATGACTAGGATAACTCTAGGACCACATAAAAAAAACAGAAACCAGTTCATATGATTTTCTTAATCTTTCCACCATTGATTAATTTAGTGTTCGTTCTAGAAATTTCTCAGTTCTATTGCCCCTTTGATTTTGTCAATTGTTCTACAAGAACATTGAATAGTACTGAATAGGTGTGTTTGAGGAGAATCAACGTCAAAATTTTGTTGATCAGATCTAACATTGATTCACCGTATGAACCAAATGCTGTTTTTGTTTTTGTTTTCTGAGGATGAATATTGAATGCAAAAACTCCATTTATTCTCAATTAATCAACAGTAATTTAAAAAATTGAATATTGAATATTGAGAGAGACTGATTATATATATCAATGGAACCCCACTCTACTCAATTAAAAAATGATCTATGTAGTATAGGCACCACCTCCCTATAAAACTGAAATGCATATATTATATACATGTTCTTTAATATGAACAGTTGATGCTTTTAGCCACCCACTTTTTATTTAATAAAACCCCTTTTAATAAACCTTATTAAACTTTTTTTTTTCTTTTAGTGTTATAATTTTTAAATATACTTCTCACAATGCTATTACCTTTTTGTTTTTTATTTTATTTGTTGCTATTAATTCCCTATCAGTATTCCCAAAGAATAAAGGTCCCTATCTATTTGATGCTACATTATAACCAATCCTCAATTAATTCCACAGCTCCAGAAAATGGCATCAGCACTGGAATCGGTTCACTATATATTTTATATTATTCTTCTTTTTCTAATATTTTTCTTTTTACAATTTTTGGTTTAATAATTGACCTACCAAAAACTTTAATATAATTTCAAGACACCATTTATAAACCAAGATTTTTCACTTATCTCCCTTAAGATTTTGCTTAATTACTCATAATCACTAACCTTTCTAAGAACAGAGTGGTTTAAACCTTGGAGGGACTCAATTTAATTATAAAACTATAATTTTTTATATTTTTTTGTAAAATTAGAGCAAACCTCATGGGATTAATTAGATTAATACCAAAGGGCAATGGACTAATTCTAATTGCATGGTTTCTTTAGATGGTAGCATAACTACTTATATATGGTCCCGGATTCCCTAACCCACTAAAACAAAACGTTAATGCAGTACTGGTTACCCCGTTAATTAATCCGATGATTAGAAGAATAATTGGAGATAATATAAAGATTATTCATACAAATAGATCTAGAAATATAGAAAAATTTCAGCTAATCGAGCTGGCAGTGAAAGTTGCAAAATGATCATTAAATTATTTGAATTAATTACCGACCCATGGTTGATGGGCTGGCGATCAAGAATCAAGTTCCAAAACTTTATATCTATAAGGAAAATGAAATATACTCTAGACTCTAGACTCCTGTTTTATCATTTTGTATTATCGACCGATGGTATTTCCGTTTTATATGTTTAGACTTTTTCTAAAAAGAATTCTTATATCTAAAGTGTTGTATATAAATTAATAATTTTGAATTGATTAAAGATTTTGTCTTCATATGAATATATCTCTACCAAATATATATATATATATATTAAAACCTTTTCTCCTTCCATGAATAGAGGATCAAAAGAAAAGAAAAGTAAATAAAAACCAATAAGATAAAGGCTTCAGCATTTGGCAATGGATTTGTGTAATTCGGGGGTGTTAATATAATGGCAATTAGCTATTAATTATATTAACTAAAAGAAAAAGATGCTCTTAATTTAGCCCCGCACTACTTAAACCCTATCCATAATATGAAATATGCCTCCTAATATAGGTACCAGCTCTCTATGTGATTGAAGTTTACCTTTCATGTGCTCTAACATGAACTTCACTACTTGAAATGCCCATTTCAAATAAAATTTTTATTTAAAAGAAAAATAAAACAATTTGTGCATAAAATAGACTAATACATGGTACCAAATAGACATTTGATTAATTGAATTAAACGTTGTTCAAGATCTCAATGACTCAATCATTCTCGTATTAATAAATTTCCAAACCCTAAGAAAGAGTAATATTATATAAATGTAAACTAATTTTTTGTCAATGTCATCAGTGGCCATCCACATTTGTTAATCAGTCAATTGCATCTTGGATGATGCAATGGTGTTACATGAGAATTAAAATTATGGTATATATATATATATGTTTTAAATTGCATAAAGAGTTTATTCTTTGTTCGTCGTCGGAATATAAACTTAAATAATAAAGTGATATTTTAAAAGTCTATAAGTTATTAAATTATTATTTGAGAAGAAAAAGGTGTTTACTCTTGCAAAAATGAACAAAGAAAGATCACTGATATTATTTTTGTTGTCTACTACTTGAACAACCCTAAAAATGGTTGACATATTAATTTGGTGGGTGCAAAATCGAGTTCCAGCCGGCAGTCAATGAATGCCTATATTATAGCTCCAATAATATATTCCAAGTAATAGGGTTTTGGTGTTTGTCTCAATAATATATTCCAAGTAATAGTGTTTTGGTGTTTGTCTCAATATCATCGAGTTTAATGCTACTAACCCATTACTGTCGTCTTTTACACAAATTAAGGTAGCCATTTCAATCATGGCCCTCTCCCACTCCTTAGATTCCCTGGAATTGGATCCTTTACGTCTCTTCCAATTTCAAGGTTTAAATTATGCAAAAATCTCCTAATATCTGGCCTTAACACTCTAAAGCCGCAGCTATATCTTAGAGTTAGACTGCTTGCCAATGTGAGAGTATTCTTGTCGACTAGTATTTGTTAGCCATATAATTTATTAAGATTCACTTTTGTTAACTAGTTATCAAAGAGTTTGGACACTTTTTTTCTAGAAGTTACTGCAAAAGGACATAAGTTCTAAAATGTATTGAAATGGGACAAAATTTCGTTTCGCTTCACCGACGAGGTTATTGTTTTGCCCACAACATTTTTTTTTTATTAACTTGTTTTAAATAATAATTTATATATTACAAATAATTTTGATTAATTTTTTGTTTTTCTTATTTTTATTTACTTTTTATAAACATTTTGGACTAGTAGAAAACTATTAAGTTACATTTTGACTCTTTTGAGATGTTAAATTTAACACCCTTTCACTATTTTTGTCCATTTTTTGTGTGTTTTAAAAATCGTATCCATTTACAGTGACTTAAAAAGGGAGTCTACATATTGATAAAAACCCAGTTATAGAACCCCATTTAACCTGTTAAACTAACTTTTCTAAATAATTATATTAGAGTTTTATTTCATATCTTTTCAAGATTTTAACACCAATTTAATATATCAATGTTTAATTACATGAAACTATAAAAACTTCTCTAAAAAAATTATCCTAAACTTTTAGCAGAATTGTCAGGTAATACCATTTATTTTTTTAATAATTCTATTTACTTTTACTATCATTTACTTAAAACAAGATAGGGTGTATTTTAGACTTTTCAAAAATTTTACAAAATTTCTTTTAATTGCTGCTAAGTGATAAAGTACCTAAGTCTACTTTATATAACTAGATTCAAATTATTATTATTTTTATCACCAGGGTGTTTGGACCAATTTGTACAGACCTCAATTAATTATCCGGGACCTTGAAACTGTCACCGATTAAGAATCCTAGTGCCCACCCCTATTAATGCTTAGGAGAATTCGAATTCAAAAGCTCATAGAACCTCTTTTTGTCCTTTTACAATGGCGATAACCTAGATCTAATTTTACCGAGGCCAAACTAGGGAACCAATATGTACATAACTCTTACTTTTAGGGTGTGTTTGGTTATGGCTCTAGAGAGATAACTCTCGTAATCTACCTTTAATTCAGGACATTTTCTTGTTTGGTTGTCAAGCAATAAAAGATTTAGGTAGTCTTTCAATACCAATAGTGATTACTATGGGTTAAATATGGGGTAATCAGATTACCTCCTCAGGGGGTGATATTTAAAGATTACCGGGGTAATCTTAATTTTATACCCGTTTTGCCCTTAATTAAATGTCATTCCGGACACAATTGTCCTCAAATATCTACCAAATAACAATCAACCCAAACCCACAACATTTTAGAATTTAGCTAAAACACCCTAGCCACAAAAAGTTTAAAAGTTAACAAAATACCCCCAGCCACCAAAAACTACCATCGGTCGCTAGCCACCACTGCCAACCACCAAAAATAGCTGCCAGATTGACGCACGATCGATGGGATCTGGCCGACCATGCGTTGATTTGGCTGTTTCCAGCTAAATCGAAGGCCGAAAACGGTGGATCTAGCTGAAGATGGCTATAACATATCGGTTGTTTGTGGCCGTTTTCGATCAGATCCATGGTGATCTGGCTATTTTCAACCTTTAATCTGGTCGGAAGCAAAGCCAGATCGCCATGAATCTGGCCATTTCGGCCATATCTACAGTGATCTAGCTGTTTTCGGCCTTCGATTTGGCCGAAAACAGCCAAAATGGTGCACGACTAACCCAATCTCGCCGGTCGTGTGCCGTTTTGGTGACTGACGCTAGTGGCCGACAATGGTGGCCGACGGTCGGTAATGGTCTTGGGTGGCTCAGGATATTTTATTAAATTTTAAAATTTGTTGTTGTGAGTGTTTTAACTAAATTCTCAAATATAGGGGGTTAAAAGAATTTATTTAAATAATAATAATAATATTATTATTATTATATTAAAAAGAAAGGGCAATTCAGTAAAAATTTTATTCTTCCCAATCTTAATTATTTATACCCACTAATCTAACTAAACATATTGATATAACATCCCACGTAATCTTTATGGTAATATGTCTTGATAATAATCCTTCATTTTCAATAATAAAACATTTCCCAAACCAAACGCACCCGTAAGGATAATAAAATAGACTCATCGAGGTTTGCCTTTATCACAATAAAGGCATCTTGAGATTTCAAAAGTAACAAAAACTACCCCTAATATTAGTGAGATTTGGTTTAATAAAGTTATGGAACTGAATGAGGGTAGCCTGATAACATGGTATCTTATATCAAATACAAATACAAATACAAAAATGTGTACACCACTTCTTGAAATATATTCTCATTAACAAATATAGAAGTACAGGCATTCTCCATAAAACATGTAACCTTTCTAGCTATGGACGGGGGATAACGACTGAAATGAGCAAGAAACAACTGGCCCCTGAAATGAAGACTCCCCTATTGACTGTCAATTTGAGGTTCTCCTTGGAACAGGATCTAAAGTATAATGTCCAAGCCTCCCAGTGCGATAAAGATTAAGCAACTTAGAAGCAACTTTAGTGTTAGGATCCTCACTTAAATCCACTGGAACCTGGAAAATTTCCTTTAAAGCTTTGAATTGTAGGTCAATAAGCCTTACCATATCCTCCTCTTTTTCCACATTTCCACCGAAACATGAAGTTACCTCAAAAAGAGTCTGCCGAACTTTCTGTACAATAAAATCCTGCAAGTTCATTGAAAATATTTCATTAAACAATTTGATCAAATTACGTTCAGGCATTGGACAGGCAACACAAGAGATTCATCAACAGCATTTTCGGTCATATAAATGGTCCTTTGGTTACTTTAGCTTTTTATTATATTTTTTTCTTTTCATTTTGTGAGAAAAATAATTAAACAAATTTTCCGCCAATTGGTTTGTTTCAATTAATTCCCCAGAGAACAATATTTCAGTTGGTTATCACATTAAAAGCTTATTCATCATCCGAGTGATAACTACAAAAACCTGAAAAAATGCCATAAAGAAAAGGACTAGAAAAAAATTTTAGTATGAGAAGCAGTACATATTTGTTTCACTACCTATTGCCCAGTTTGCAGAGAAGTGCATAAATTATTTACTGCTAGAACAGAGTTTATTGAGGTATGTGATTGCACAAGCTTTCATACCTGCGTGTGGTCTGAGGGATATCGCCTTTTCTGTTTCTTCTCCAACTCAGGGCCAGTTGAATGCTCCACATTGTGCTGCAAGTTGGATCTGTCATTCTCATAGGTGGAAAATTTTGCCCACTTCTTGTATTCATCACTGGAGTTGAGAATTGCCAGAAAAAATTCAGCAAGTTTCTTTACCCCAACAAAAGAGTCCCTAATAGCTCCTGCATTTAGAAGAAAAAAAACCTGCATTGAGTGTCTGCTGAGAATTTCAACAATCTGAATTATCTTAAATGTCACAAACATAATACTATATGCACAAGTTAATTAATCATAGTTTTGCATTCTTAACCACTGAGCTAGAATAGCTATGGGTGAAACATTATAATTCTCGTTTACACCCAAAAAAAGGATAAACAATATAGCCACACCTGTTAAAGCCAGCTTGGAGCACACCTCAATGTCATGGATCTCAGGAGGCAAAATACCAGGGGTGTCCAACACATAAATATTGGGATGGCTAGCAATCTGGAATCTAAACAAGTTTCCATTATAACGTATCAGCAAACAAATACCAAATGAAAAATGGAAAGAAAAGTTAAGTTAAAAAAGAAACATGCTAAAGTCAACATTGCTACCTTATCCTCTTATGCGCATCAAGTTGCAGAGAAAATAGAAGACAGACTAGCACCAAAACAAAGGTACAAAATTATATGAAACCAAACTAAAACCATTGAGAGGTCAACATAGTTGTATCAATAAAATTTATTTACTCCAAAAACAAACACAGATTATACATATTTAAGAATTGTTGCACTAAATAACACAAGACATAGGGATGTGATAATCTTTTCTGGAGTGGAAAGAGCATTACAAGGAAAGAAGCCTGTCACCTTGAAGCTGTTAATGTCTTTCGTCTCTCCTGGCTGTGGGTTTACCGTTACATGCTTGAGCTTTCCTTTCTCTACAAAAAACCCAATATCGCTTCAAAAACAACTTAGCTTCCATTTGAGAAATTGTTTTCCTAAAACATTGAAAAAAGATAACAATAACAAATACCTGCAGCACTAATCCTTCCAATGTGATGCAAGGACTTGACAAGAGCTGACTTACCAACATTAGGAACCCCAACTAGCATTACCGTTATGGTATGACTCGGATGATCAGTTTTCTTCAATTCCCTGACTCGAGCTTGCAAAAAGTTGAGAAACTGCAAAAAGCAGACTATCATCAAATCCTCACAAATATGTGAATAGTAATTTGATAAATAATGAATTAATGAGTTATACCTCTTTCACATTGTCCCTATTATGGGAATTGACACCAAAAGAAATGCAATTTCGTTGGTTAAAATAGTTCATCCACTCCTTTAATTGAGAATGACTAACAAGATCCATTTTGTTGAGCACTAAGATTCGCCTAGATGAAAAAGGGTAGTTCCTCAATTGTTCAAACTCTGATGAAAATGGAATCTAAACCAAAAATATTTCAGTTAGACATTTGATAGACAAAGGAAAAAAAAAAAAGGATTCAATAGGATATGCTTTACGCACCCTAGCATCTCTGATTTCAAGGACAAGATCAACCAATGGGATTCGGTCAACGATGGCTCTAGAGGCTGCAGCCATGAAAGGGCCATACCATCCTCCACCTTTCTTATTACCTATTTGCTGAACAGCATTTCCTATTTCCCTCCCTATTTTTGATAAACTCGTCATTGCCATACAATTTCAAAACGTTGTTCGTTGCTGAGTATCAGTATAATATGTTAGTGCAGACATGTCACAAGGCTCTCGTTACTAAAAGTAACTTCATTTATAAATTCCTTATAAAACTTTTTCTGTACAAACCCATATGAAATAAGAGATTTTGAAATAAAATTAAAATTAATCTAATCAAATAAAAATCAATGATATAATCAAACTATAGTGATGTTACATAAATTATATAAGGAAATTTATTTTTTTAGGCGATGATAGCATTTGAACACACACACCAAGCAGCAATTCTAAATATATTTTCTGTCTCAAAACAATTTCTTCAATTAAAAGAAACTTGCAAACAATTCATCATGGCAAAGTATCAAGAATTATGTCATGAGATGCATCAAATACAATTACCTTTAGGTATGATTCTCCAGCCAACTGAGCATGTAAAGCAACTTCGTATCCCAACTGATGCTCAGGGCGCTTTCCATTTTCCTAAAATGGTAAGGGCCATTAAATTTTGCAGAATTTAAACAAACAAATTACAATTTCAAAAATAATAATTTATGAGGAATCATTTTAAAGTGCTTTTACAGTAAGCATTATATCTCAAAAGCGTTTGTCACAAAATAACTTCCCTGAACACCTTGATACATAACAAATACATTCAGAAAAAATGGAAACTTACACTTAAAAAGCAAACTTTTCACAAGGGACCAGATGGAATTTAACTTCAAAAAGCACACAAGTTTAAAGCACAAGCCGATATAGAAAATGATATTTTGAAAAATTTCTAGCAAATGGTCTATGGCTCAAGTGGTGTAAAGCCCATTGCTCCTTGCTTTTTCAGTAAGTCTAGAAGAACAAAGACACATAACTCGCCAAAGTACAGACCCAATTTAGTTCCAGCCTCAACTTTTTTTCTCAGGCATTTAACCAAACAGGTCTCGTGCTTCAACTAGAAGATAATTTTCAGAGCAAAGCATCATATGAACGGATGACCAACCCTTACATGTTTTTAATTATTTAAAATGTGATATAGTTGAAGAAGACGAACCTCCAGCGGCCGGCTTAATGGCGCGGCGGAGAACGGCGAAATATCGCGTCGAAGGGGCTTGTGGAAGTGTGGAACCGCTTTTTCGTTGTACTTGTTCTAAATTCATGTAAAAATTGGGGTAATATCAGATACACCCCTGAAACGTCGGAAAAGTACAGTTACCCTGACCAATTTAAGGAACTACATTCGAGACCCCTTTCCTTAGTTTTGTCTCATTGTCCGTAAACTTTAACAGCAATAAGAGCAGATTAGCACCATTAAAATTAAAAAAGAGTAAACGACTGTTCCCACCCAAGGTTTAACGAAATGTCAAGTTACCACTTCTGGTTTCATAAACTCCACATTCCCACCCTTAAATTAACACCATTTCATTTTTTTTTAACAATTACGGGCTAAAACTGTCATTTACTATATTTTAAAACACCCTCATAATAATAGTTAGTAAATACGCGTTTTATATACGAATTATACGCCCAACCGTATAATTCGCATATAAAACGCGTTTTAACGTATGTTATAAAAACTGTCGAATTATACGCGTATAATATGAATACCCGTATAATTCGCGAATTATTCGCGTATAATTCGCGTATTATTGAAAAAAAAAAAAACCCATTGCTCACCCAAAACGACGTCGTTTTAGTGGGTTTAATTCAAAATTACACAGTATCTCTTCTCTTCTCCAGATCTTCTTCTTCCTTAGTTCTTCGACGGATGACATTTTCAGCTTTTCTTCCTCAGTTCTTTGACGTTTTCAGCTTTTCTGCCAATACTTTCCCTTCCTCAGCTCGGACGACGAACTGGTTGAGATTTTTAACGGGTTTGTGTTTGTGTTTGGGGGAAAAGAATAAATTTGAGGAAGGCGAACTGGTTGAGATTTTTAACGGGTTTGTGTTTGTGTTTGGGGGAGAAGAAAAAGTTTGAGGAAGGGAAAGTATTGGCAGAAAAAATAGCCTGTAAAGCAGATGTCATTGTTGGAACTCTGAAAGAAGCAGTTGGCCTTGTGGGTGAGAGTGAGACACTGAGAGATGATTTGATTGAAGAAGAGAGAGGCAGGGGGGTTTTCAAGATGGGTCACGGGTGTTTTGTGTTTGTGGTGGATTTCAACACTCAACACTGCAGATTAGTGGATTATGTTTCTATAATTCTATTGCATAAACAAAAAAATAAATAAATATCTTTTCCACTGGTGGGTTAGAACCAGACATGGGCTTGGGAATTTGTTAAGGCAAAGAAAAGATTAACGTTACCATACCAAAAGCAAAAGCAAAAGATTTAATTGAAGCCATTAATGCAAAGATACATTAATAATTAGTCTATAAAAGTGTGAAAATTAGAATTGATATTGTCGTATTTTTTAAAACATATTATTGACAATGTATCGTATTAAATCTGTATATATCCGTATCATATTTTTTCTGTATCCGAATTTTATGACCGAATTTTTATAAACGTATTTTTTACTATTTACCGTATTATATCTGTAAAATTCCTACACCCTTTTTTTGCCATACCCGTATTTACTAACTAGGCTCATCGAATAAAGAATCAGAATCCTAATAACAAAAAACTCAAATCAATCCAGATTAATAATACTCAAAATACATGTTAATAATAGATTGTATCTAAAATTTTAATGATATAATCCACCCCAAAACGTCACAAAAGTCATGGCCACCGTCGCCGCCGCCACCACCATCTCAAAACTCATCCAAATTCTGCTCGTAATCCTCCTCTTCGTCTCTTTCACCCTAACCTCTGCAAGATCCAACCACTTCTCCAAAACCCTCTCTCCAAAATCCCTTGGCCTCAAAAAGCAAAAGCTCAGCCACCTCCACTTCTACTTCCACGACATTGTCAACGGCAAAAACCCCAATGCCGTTCACGTTGTCGAGGCCGCCATGACCAACAAACACCCACCCTCTTTGTGTAATTTTTTTGTTGTTTTTGTATTCTGGTAAAAAAAAATTGCGTCACGTTTCCGTTGAATTTGTTGATGAAGATCTAAGTTGTTGTTTTTTTGTTGATTAATCCGCAATTGATGAAGTTAGTTTAACGTGGAGTTGATGAAGTTGTAAAGAGATTTGTTTAATTTTGTTGATAGGCTGAGGACTGAGGATTTATTACGTCTAATGAAGTTGAAATGAAAGGGATAGATCGAGAGAATGAAGAGTGAAAGCGATTTGGCAGGTCGTCGATCGATCACAGGCTAAAGAATCTAATTTTATATATTTGAGTTGATAAAGTTGTAAAGAGATTTGTTTAATTTTGTTGATGGGTGAGGACTGAGGAGTTATTGCGTCTAATGAAGCTGAAATGAAAGGGATAGATCAAGAGAATGAAGAGCGAAAGTGATTTGGTAGGCCATCGATCGAGTGCAGGCTGAAGAATCTAATTTTATATATTTCTCTTTTCTTTTATCTGGGTTATTAAGGATCTGTTTTTGTATATATATATATATATATATATTTTTTTTTTTTTTCTTGAAGTTTATTGAGAAAACAAGTAATATATGGTAGGGGGAGATGAAGAAGACAAAGATGGGAGGAGGACTAGAGGAGGGGGGATGAAGAAGAAGAAGATGGGAGGGTAGTTTGATAATAGTAAGGAGGGGAGATGAAGAAAAAGAAGATGGGGGCAGTTTGGTAATAGCACATTCCTGAACCAACAATCACTAACAGTATTAATTTAAAGGTGAGAATTTGAAATTTATGAAACCAAGGGTGAGAACTTGGCATTTCGTTAAACTTTGGGTGGGAACATGTCGTTTACTCATTAAAAATAAAAAATAAAAAAAATCAAATTATGCAATCAAGAAGCCACCATGATCTACTAGGTATTATAAGTAAAGATCGTATGATGATCTCAATAAATCTCGACATGATTTGTATCGATCTCAATGATCATGGTTTACGATATAATTTTTAAAATGTAATTCATGTTTCTTAAAAAAGAAATAAAAAATTTGACTAGTTACCTAAATTACAAAGTTTGTGTAACCTTTTTTTTTTTTTTTTTTTTTTTGTAAATTTTCAAATAATATTAACATTTTTCTAAAAATATTTTAATTGACATCTTAAATGAAAACTTTTTGTATAATCTTTTAGTTTAGGGTACAAATGACATTGACAAGAATCCAGCAAAACCCAACAAAAACCTTTGTGTGAAATCAAGTGAAGCCCATTAAAGAAATTATTTAAGAAGGTGAGATTATTTCGGCCCAAGGAAAATGCATAAGGGAAGGCAAGAGCAAGGACTCGGCCCAAGGAGATATTATGGCTCAAAATTTGGCCCAAGTAAGTAGAGTTGTTCATCATAAGCCCAAGTGGCCTAAAATGGATTTTGACTATTTGGGTTCAATGCCTTTAATTGGATATAGCTTGATTACTTGAGAAATTTCCCACCAAAGTAGTTCAAGTATTCAAACTTTGCTGGGAGAATCAAGGAAGCATGTGGGAGCATTAAATGCAATAGACAAGGGAACACATGGGTAGCTACAAGCATTACCAAATTTGGCAAAAACAAGTTTGTAAGGTTTGGGCAGCTCCATGTCCCTTATCACTTAAGGAAAGTTCTAAGATCTTGTGTTTTAGCTAATCCGTGCATACATTTCTTTTTTTTTTTTTTTTTTTTTTTTTTTTTTTTTTTTTCTTTTTTTGAACCCTTGTATGACCAATTCAAATATTGGTCAATTTTCTTTTGTATGGCTTAGATTCACTAGGACTTAGTGCATGCCACTTGTGCGCCCAAGACTAAACCAAGTTAGGGCAACTTTTGCAACTTTTTGTAAGGTCATTATATAAGGCAAGCTTCTCCTATTGGAAGATAGTTTTTGGATGAATGAAATTCGTAGTTCTAGTGAGAGCTCATTTTAACCTTTATCCAATCTTGCCGAAAGGGTTGGTGGTGGTTTATCCTTGGCTGGTGGTGATCCTTTAGGCCTTGGAATCATTTTGACAATCTTGTTTTTCTTTGTTTTAAGTGTTATTTTTGTTGTTGAGTACAAACACTAGAGCTGGTCGTAAATTTGCAAGTTTGATTCCTTGTCAACCAATCTGAGTTCTTCAAGTGTAAAACTCCATCAACTCACTCTATTCACTTAAAATGTAATTCATATTTCTTAAAAAAGAAATAAAAATTTTGACTAGTTACCTAAATTACAAAGTTTGCGTAACCTTTTTTTTTTCTGGATAAATTTTCAAATAATATTAACATTTTTTTTTATAATATTTTAATTGTTATCTTAAATGAAAACTTTTTGTGTAATCTTTTAGTTTAGCGTATAGACGACATACTTTTACAAAAATTTTAAATTTTACAAGAACTAAGAAATATATCAATTACAAATGGAAAAAAACTATAAGGCTAAAGTAGACAACTTAAAAAGAGATTCATGGAGGCCAAAATTCTAAAGTGTATCTTTCGGAATTAGTCGCAACTGTTAGGTTTTTTTTTTTTTTTTTTTTTTAACTCAATAGAATTTAATGGAATAATGCTATGCTTACAACTAAGTCATATAATCCGGTAAAAAATTTACAAAATTAATGTAAAATAACTATTATATCCTATGTTTTTGGTCTGGTTGTATGACTCAGTTGTATGTATAACATTATTCAATTTAATGTCATCTAATACTTAAAAGTGTTAAAATATAAAATACAAAGAGAAAGAATTTTGTTATTGTATATATTTTGTCTCTTAGCCTTGTTACTTTAATTTTAGATTATTAACAAAATTCTTGTTATTTTGACTATATGTTTCAATTTAAACTGTTAGGTTTCAATTCTTGTTATTTATGTATCATTTCTAAGTGGACTTTTATATTTTCAACTCAATTAGGCTTTATTATGTCAATTTTATGATAGAATCGCATCAAAATGTGAGGTAAAAAATTCAATTTCTTAATTTCTAGTAGTAAATGTACTTACTAAACATTATANACATACCTCAAGTGGGATATTACAAATTCATATTTCTTAAAAAAGAAATAAAAAAATTTGACTAGTTACCTAAATTACAAAGTTTGTGTAACCATTTTTTTTTTTTTTTTGTAAATTTTCAAATAATATTAACATTTTTCTAAAAATATTTTAATTGTTATCTTAAATGAAAACTTTTTGTGTAATCTTTTAGTTTAGGGTATAGATGACATTGATAAGAACCCAGCAAAAACCTTTGTGGAAACCAAGTGAAGCCCACTGAAGGAATTATTTAAAAAGGTGAGATTATTTCGGCCCAAGGAAAATGCATAACGGAAGGCAAGGCCCAAGGACGTATTATGGCTCAAAATTTGGCCCAAGTAAATAGAGTCGTTCATCATGAGCCCAAGTGGCCTAAAATGGATTTTGACTATTTGGGTTCAATGCCTTTAATTGGATGTAGCTTGATTACTTAAGAAATTTCCCACCAAAGTAGTTTAAGTATTCAAACTTTGCTGGGAGAATCAAGCGAAGCATGTGGGAGCATTAAATGCAATAGACAAGGGAACACATGGGTTGCTACAAGCATTACCTGATTTGGCAAAAACAAGGTTGTAAGGTTTGGGCGGTTCCATGTCCCTTATCACTTAAGGAAAGTTCTAGGATCTTGTGTTTTAGCTAATTTGTGCATGCATTTTTTTTATTTTTTGTTTCTCCTATGTTGGAACCCCTGACCAATTCAAATATTGGTCAATTTTCTTTTGTATGGCTTAGATTCACTAGGAGTTAGTGCATGCCACTTGTACGCCCAAGACTAAACCAAGTTAGGGCAACTTTTGCAACTTTTTGTAAGGTCATTATATAAGGCAAGCTTCTCCTATTGTAAGGTAGTTTTTGGATGAATGAAATTCGTAGTTCTAGTGAGAGCTCATTTTAACCTTTATCCAATCTTGCCGAAAGGGTTGGTGGTGGTTTATCCTTGGCTGGTGGTGATCCTTTAGGCCTTGGAATCATTTTGGCAACCTTGTTTTTCTTTGTTTTAAGTGTTATTTTTGTTGTTAAGTACAAACACTAGAGCTGGTCCTAAATTTCAAGTTTGATTCCTTGTGAACCAATCTGAGTTCTTCAAGTGTAAAGCTCCATCAACTCACTCTATTCACTTAAAATGTAATTCATATTTCTTAAAAAAGAAATAAAATTTTTGACTAGTTCCTAAATTACAAAGTTGTGTAACCCTTTTTTTTTTTTTTTTGTAAATTTTCATAATATTAACATTTTTTTTTAATTTTTAATTGTTATCTTAAATGAAAACTTTTTGTGTATCTTTTAGTTTAGGTATAGACACATACTTTTACAAAAATTTAAATTTTACAAGAACTAAGAATTATATCAATTACAAATGGAAAAACCTATAAGGCAAAGTAGACAACTTAAAGAGATTCATGGAGGCCAAATTCTAAATGTATCTTTTGGAATTAGTCCCAACTGTTAAGTTTTTTTTTTTTCTTCTTAACTCAATAGAATTTAATGGAATAATGCTATGCTTACAACTGAGTCATATAATCGGTAAAAAATTACAAAATTCATATAAATGACTATTATATCCTATGTTTTTTGTCTAGTTGTATGATTCAGTTGTATGCATAACATTATTCAATTTAATATCATCTAATACTTAAAAGGTTAAAATAAAATACAAAGAGAAAGATTTTGTTATTATATATTTTGTCCTTAGCCTTGTTACTTTAATTTTAGATTATCAACAAAATTCTTGTTATTTTGACTAATGTTTCAATTTAAACTGTTAGGTTTCAATTCTTGTTATTTATGTATCATTTCTAAGTGGACTTTTATATTTTCCATATTTTCAACTCAATTAGGCTTTATTATGTCAATTTATGATAGAATCGCATCAAAATGTGAGGTAAAAAATTCAATTTCTTAATTTCTAGTAGTAAATGTACTTACTAAACATTAACCTCTTTTTTTTTTAAAGAAAAATCCAAAAATACCTGTACTTGCTTTGCAGGTGGAGTTCGAAACTTAAGCCTCATGAACCTTGCAGTCTTTAGAACCGAGAAGCAAGAGTCCTTGACCATCTGGGATAAACTACATAATAACTTTGAATAATTAACTAAAACATGGAGGGGCTTAAAAAAACTAACCACATCTCCAAACATTACCCTATATTGATCAACAACTATCACAATTTCAAAATTACCCAGATATAAAAGATCAACCTCTCTCTCTCCTTATAATATAAAATTCGGTTTAAGTTTGGATTTGGAATGAATCTATCAGTTCAAAGAGGTTTTTTTTTTTTGAAAAATATATGATTTATCTTTATTGTTTTAAAATGACCAAAAAAAAAAATTGAAATTGTGTTTTCATCAAGGAAATACAGGCCTAGGGGCATTTATGTCCAAAAAGGCATATATTGGTTACTATAGCTTAGGGTTTGGAGGGTTTTTTTTTTTTTTTTTTTTCCTCAACTATTGAATTGTATTAGAGAAATAGTTATTAAAGAGATATATCAATTAAGTTACAACATCCTAGCTTGCTTTGGATCCACTCTTAATTATGAATTTACTTGAGAATCTTGGGACACTTGTCTAGTATAGTTCTCGTAGAATAATCTATTCATTTATTATTTCATTAATATAAATTTTCTCATTATATTTATAGGGGGAAATTATCAACCACCCTTAAGGTTTCTAAATTTATCATTTGGATGACAATTTTCACACTTTTTATCATAGAGTACCCTCAAAGTTTGAAACTATATCATGGATACTCCTTTGCCCTGAGTTTGTTATATACGACAACGTAACATGGTTAACGCAAACAGGTATTTATGATAAAGAATTTTACACTTTGAAGGTCCATCTAATACGCAAATGAGTATTTATGATATAGTTTTAAACTTTGAGGGTAATCTACAATAAAAAGAATGTTATTTGAATAGTAAATTTGGAAACCTTAAGAGATAGTCTATAATAATCTCCCTATTTATATAGGAGACATAAAAGGTCAATCAGGAAAAAAGATTTGATCAATTGAACTTAAAATGGAACTCAAATATATATATATATATATATAGAAAGTTGTTGCGTTAGCAATAATAAATTATACCATTTGACTTTGATTATCATCATACTACATATATAGAAAGTTATTGAGTTCACAGTACAATAAATGAGAATTTCTCTTTACTTCTCACTATTATTGAGATTAATCTAAATATTCGTTTAAATGAGTATTTTTAAATGCAACTATATCTACTGAGAATACTTAGACCAGTTAGAATTAGTTAACATATATTGTTTACTTTATAGTTCGAGAGGTAGGTGTCTTATTTTTGTGCTAGAATTCATGTGCTCTGTTCTTGTAAGAAAAAATCTAAAATACAATTGGATATTTTCACCTTCCAATGAATTTACGCAATTTGTGAATTTTCTCTTTTTTCTAAATCTTTATATTATTAATAATAATAGTTATTAAATATAATAACTATTTGACATATATATATTGTCTTGTGATACCACGTCAGCAATACCTCAATAATATCATAGACTTTCTCTTTCTTGTAAAGGATACTAAAACAAGTTTATAAATGTCAAGTACAACCCTTTAGGGTCCGAGCTTTCAAACTAAGAAAATAATTAAGGGAATCATAAGTGAGTATTTCAACAATTTTTGATGACCAAGATATCAACTTGGACAAGTATGAACCTTCATAGTTAGGGATAGATATGAGTTTGATGGATGAAGTGTTGTCATTAATATTGGTTCACTAATTGAAAATCAAACAAACCATACAACATCACCTTCACTAATTGAAAATCTTTACCCAAAAATATTGATTTCCACCATAAACAATTTTCTCGTAATGTTGGTTCTTCAGTTGCTCTCTATTATTCACTAATTCCTTTCTAGGCTTCCCTTACCAAGCTTTCTGCTGTAGATGGAACCCTCTAAAAAGATGGCACTCTTTAAATTAGAGATGGCCACACTCTGGGTTCTGGCTAGGCCTGGGATATATTTATAAAATGCAAGCCCGAGCCTGGAGAAAGTCCAGGTTTTTTAATACCTGGGTTGGGCTGGACCAAGCCTTACATTGACCAAAGAAAGTAACGAAATAATAAATTTTTATATCAAATTGAAAAGCCAAGTAAATATAAAGTTATTTGTCATGTTATATAATCTTTTATAATTTAAATAAAAATATCTAATATGACACATAATAATCTAATTTACCATATTAATGATTGATATACAGTGTTGCTTGATTGATAACCTTGGTTGCAATTAGAAGCATGGTTTTAAAACTCGGCTCGACCGGTTGAACCAGGAATTGGTGATTAAGTCGAGTCGGTTCAACTAAAAAACCAAAATATTAAATAACCTAGTTTAAACTGCAGTTGAACCAGATTTTTTATTACGAACTGCCGATATGACCCAATGGTTGAATCACATTTTTATTATTTTATATGTCATGCTAACATCAGAATGACATCATTACGCTAACATCAGCATGATAACATCACGGTTCACCAGTGGTTAAACCGGTTCGACTGGCCAACCTGGTGACCAAATGACCTGACAAGGTCACTCTCCGGGTCGGGTTTTAAAACCTTGATTAGAAGTGGTTGTTGACAATATTTATTCATGTGAGACAATAATCTAATTTAGTGCATATAAAAAATTAAAAGTGAAACTTCACTTTGAGTCTCCATGACTGTTATTACGGATGGTCATTGGAGTTCTTACTCAACCGATAGTTCCAAAGTCTCAAGAGATTATGCGTAAGCTAGTCCGGACACTCTCGATCATTAAAAAAAAAAAATTAGAAGTGGTTGTCGAAGGACCAAAATCTTAGAAACTGAAAAACAAAAAAATAATAATAATAATAAAGCCGAACAAACATACCAAAAGTTGGCGGTTTCTTGACTGAAATGAAGGGCATCAATACAATACTACAGGTACATATATAGGAAGATGGAGAATAAAAATACAGAATTCGTATACTATATTGTTCGTTTATCTACTCTTATATATTAACAACTTCTATTGAAAACGATTGAATTTTCATCTATAATTTTATAATCGCAAAAAGAATATACAGATGAATAAAATTACCGTAGCTCCAAGATTGCCTACTCTGTTTTTACACTAAAACCAATCTTTCGTTTCTTTATCTTCAACTCATAAACAAATGTTTAATAACGAGAACTTTACATGAACACATATCTTCCCCTTCTCCAACTCCAGCCGAGCTCCGGTGACCAGCCAGTGGCCGGGACTGTCCTGCGGCCCTTTACACAATTGTGAAGTATCAACAAATTTCAAAAGCTTCAGAGTCTGAACCGGCACCGGCGGCCCCGAAGGAAAAACACTAGAATCCAACACCACAACTGGCGTTTTCTCTTTAACTTGATGTCCTGTAATTGATGTACTTATTGTGGAAAAAAGACCTGACTTTTGGGAAAATCCTGCTGACCCTTGTGCCCAATTTGATTGTACTACAAAAGAATTTGAAACCTTGGAGAATAAGAGGCGGAGATGGAGAACGCTCTTGGATTCATGTTTTTGTACGTAAAGTTGAGCTCCAGTGACGATGAATGAAACATTTTTTCTAGTTGTCCATTTGGGATCATATTTAACTGGCGCTGTGCTTATATGAGAGAAATTTTTTCGATGGATCGGTTCGATGAATCGGTGGTCGGCAATGTCTTCTGATCCTCGCCACAATGGCATGTCGTGTATCCTGTTTTCAAGCACTGTTGGGGTGTTTGAGAGGTGTTGGAGGTGAAGGGCTAGCCTGCAGAGATCAAAAGAATAATCTGGTAAAATTTCGGAAACATAAACACAAATTGAAATGCCTTGATCCACGGTAAAGATATTGTAGATTTATCTCTTATCCATCTCAAATGTGCTTGGAGTGTGCTCCCCTTCATTCCATTATCAAGATATAGTAGATTTATTTGTTATCCATAATATTTTAACAATGAACAGGATGTTACACAAACATCAGCACATGTGAATTTCCATCGAAATTAAATTACCTGTTGCATTTCTTTCCTTCGAGATACAAGCGCATCCCAGTGACAGGTCTCGCCTCTGATGTAACCTGATGGACACAATAAATTTTGTTACTCATCACATTCCTGGAAAATGGAAAGAAAATTTCGAAGTTTTTTCAATCAAACGGACGTACCTGAATAGTGTTTACATATAGCTTTGGACCCATCATATGGAAATGGAGAGCAGGTGAAGGAGTACTCATATTTGAAGGACCGAGTGGAAGGTCATTGTGAACGGGAGCCCAAATTTTGTGATATTGGAAGTCAAGAAAGTACTGCAAATCAGCTATAGGAGGCTTGTCTGCAATTGCATATCAAATTGCAAAATTTAATTGAAGGATCCAAATGATTAATGAAAATTGATGAAGGCGAAGACTTACATCGAAGGTAGAGGTTGATGGCGTGCGATAAAAAGCCTTTTCCAGGAACCCCTTCAAGGAGAGAAGTGATGGGGATGAAGCTGAAATGGATTGCATCAGGATTTGATGACACTGTTGGAAGCCATTCACAGTGGCTACTGGCTGAAGTGTCACCTCCCCTCTTGTGGCATATTACACTGATTCCCTACAAACATTCTACTTCAATGTTAATTTAATTACATCAACATTAGTTATAACATATTAAAGGATGAACAACACTGCTTAATTATATTCAAACCTACATGTTTTGAACTTATGGAGGAAAAGCTGTTGAAGGCCACAGGTTCCGGATCAAATACATTGAAGGCTTCAGGTGTCTGCAATTCAAGAAAACAACTAATTATTCACTATTAAAGTTTCTATGTTAATGATTCATCACGGACAGACCTTATGCATTTTTTCTTTAGTTTTCGGGGCGAAACTGCAGGTCCCAGTGAAGAGTTGATCTCCGAGATTATCCAAATGTGTTTTAAGTTCTGATGGCCCCAAGTTCGAAGACTTATCTTGCTTGACTAGCACCACGTCTTGGCCTCCAACACTCAGCCCCACAACGACGTGGGTTCCATATTTCTCGATGAATCTGTCAAACAATAATGCAAATTCGGTGACATTTTCAATGGAGGAATTTATCATGCATTTGATGGTGAAATCGATGTTGAAATACAATGTTTAATTGAATTAGTTGAAATTCTTTTTGACATTTTTGAGTTTTTCATCTGGGGTATTTTGAATTTTCTTTTATTTCATCCTATGGAGTTCAAGCAAATTGGCAACTAAATGTCAACCTTTTGCCTTGTATTTTCACCAAACTCCACACAGAAAATTTCAAACGGAGAAAGCAGCTGTCACGTACCAATAAATAATAAACAGAAATCTGATTTGGGATTATTAGACGATACACTTACACCGTCTGATCGTGTGAAAAGAAAATCCTTTCAAAGCAAAGTACAGATATCAATGAGCTGGCACCATACGGATTGTTGATATCGTTGACTTTTTCATAATATTTCCAATGAAGATTGACTGGTCAACTAAGAAACTAGAATCCCTACCATCAAGCAACTAATTACATGTGATTAGGCCAAACACTGTATTATTAAATTTAGTAATTATATGTTTATTAGCTTGACCAGTTCCGGATTAGTTCATAATTAAAGATATTGTAACTAAAATATAACTTCTGATAAAAAAAAAAAAAATTATATATATATATTGTGCAAATTATGAACTTATATTACCTTGATAGGACACAAGGATCCCAAAAAGAAGGAACCGCATTACGAATTTCATCGGACAGAACCAAAGGATAGCGATCAATACGAAGATTGAAGAGTGCGATAAAATATCCATCGAGTCCCAAACACTTTGTGTGGGCTGCATCAGTCGCCCATGAACCACTCTCCAAGTTAAACATGGCGTTGAAATACCCTGATGGAATTTTCCCTGGTATTGAATTCTTCTGGTTGAAAAATTCTGACATCTGCTCATAGTTTATTAATCTCTCTCAATCAATCAATGAAGAAGAAAATGATGATGGAGATAGAGTTGATATAATGAAATAAAACAAAATAAAATATACCTTATTGAATTCGAGAATATCGGATTGGTAACGAGTAAGATCACCTTTGTCACATTTGATATCGATGGAAACATCTTTGATGGGTCCAAAACCAGGAAGATTAATGTCTCTTTGATGCGTTTCATTGAGAAGAACTAACCTCTCTTTGCCTTTGCAATACTTGAGCTTAAAATCCGAAGTTAAATCAAAGCCTTTTCCCAGGCTGTTGAGAGCTCTCTCCACTATTTCAATGCTCATTTTCCTCTATTATTATGATAAGAAAATTTGTGAAGTAATAAAGAGAAGATATATAGTTTTGAGGAATGGAAAAAAGTGAGCGAGGAGACTTGGTATTTGGTTTGATCAAAAGGGATGATAGAAAAGAGAGAAAATACGTGTGGTTAAGAAGGTCAAGACTTGGTATATTAATGGGTTCTCATTAACAATTGAAAGAAAAAGACGAAACTGTAGAATATAGAGTGTGAAAGGAGGATGGGAAATTGTGGGAGAGTAGGAAGTTTCCTTCATACTATTTCTTGATTTGAGCAATTAAAAAGTTTGACGAGTAAACGACATTTTCCCACCCAAGGTTTGGCGAATCTATGGTTCCCACCCCTGATTTCTTAAATTACATATTCTCACCCTTAAATTAACACCATCACTTTTCTCTCAAATAACCCTTACATCTCAAATTTCTCTCAAATAACTCTCAGAGGATCCCGGCCAAGCCAAAAATCAAGCCTGATTCCAACACCATTGGACCTCCCCGACATCACTATTAGCATCCCCTTATCCTCCCCACCAAAACCCCTAAACTTTCCACCCGATTGCACCTCAGCGAAGTGTCGAAATTTGGCTGGAAAAGTACAACAAGACACGAAAACCTAAGCGAGAGGTGGCGGTGATCGGCGGGCAATTACGGTTGGTGATGTTGGGGGTTTTGATGGGGGGGAAGTCGGTGATGCTATTGGTGGTGTTGAGAGTGATTTCCAATGTCGGGACCTACCAGAATTTGGATGAAACACCGACTGAAACTAAAAGCAGCGGTCTGTGATTGAGGGGTTAAATTAGGCAGGGAGGTTAGCGGTTTTGATGTGGGGGTTGAGAGGATTGTAATAGTGGTGTCGGGAGAGGTCGATTGCGCTAGGAACAAGCCTGAATGACCTGAAATCGCCAATGGGATGAATTTAATAAGTCAAGGGTTATTTTTAAAAATTTTCGGTGGGTGAATTTGAGAAATGAAGGGTTATTTTAAAATTTTTATCTTTGAAATGACTATTTTACCTTTTTAACTGTTAGATTAAATAGTTTTATGTTAATTTAAGGGTAGAAATTGTAATTTATAAAACTAGGGGTGGAAACTGGAGATTCGTCAAACCTTGGGTGGGAAATGTTGTTTACTCAAAGTTTGACCGTTTGGATCCACAGTTATAAAAAGTGTGGTAGCCTTGAAGTCTCCATTAGCTTTCACACCGTGTTATTATCTTGATTAACAGGGTATTTGAAGGGACCGAGTGGAAGGTCATTGTGAACGGGAGCCCAAATTTGTGAATTGGAAGTCAAGAAAGTACTGCAAATCAGCTATAGGAGGCTTGTCTGCAATTGCATATCAAATTGCACAAATTTAATTGAAGGATCCAAATGATTAATGAAAATTGATGAGGCGAAGACTTACATCGAAGGTAGAGGTTGATGGCGTGCGATAAAAAGCCTTTTCCAGGAACCCTTCAAGGAGAGAAGTGATGGGGATGAAGCTGAAATGGATTGCATCAGGATTTGATGACACTGTTGGAAGCCATTCACAGTGGCTACGGCTGAAGTGTCACCTCCCTCTTGTGGCATATTACACTGATTCCCTACAAACATTCTACTTCAATGTTAATTTAATTACATCAACATTAGTTATAACATATTAAGGATGAACAACACTGCTTAATTATATTCAAACCTACATCTTTGAACTTATGGAGGAAAAGCTGTTGAAGGCACAGGTTCCGGATCAAATACATTGAAGGCTTCAGGTGTCTGCAATTCAAGCAAACAAACAATTATTCACTATTAAAGTTTCTATGTTAATGATTCATCACGGACAGACCTTATGCATTTTTTCTTTAGTTTTCGGGGCGCGAACTGCAGATCCCAGTGAAGAGTTGATCTCCGAGATTATCCAAATGTGTTTAAGTTCTGATGGCCCCAAGTTTGAAGACTTATCTTGCTTGACTAGCACCACGTCTTGGCCTCCAACACTCAGCCCCACAACGATGTGGGTTCCATATTTCTCGATGAATGTCAAACAATATGCAAATTCGGTGACATTTTCAATGGAGGAATTATCATGCATTTGATGGTGAAATCGATGTTGAAATACAATAGTTAATTGAATTAGTTGAAATTTTTTGACATTTTTAGTTTTCATCTGGGTATTGAATTTTCTTTTTTTCATCCATGGAGTTCAAGCAAATGGCAACTAAATGTCAACCTTGTCTTGTATTTTCACCAAACTCACACAGAAAATTTCAAACGGAGAAAGCAGCTGTCACGTACCAATAAATAATAACAGAATCTGATTTGGGATTATCAGACGATACACTTACACCGTCCGATCGTGAAAAAGAAAATCCTTTCAAAGCAAAGTACAGATATCAATGAGCTGGTACCATACGGATAGTTGATAACGTTGACTTTTTCATAATATTTCCAATGAAGATTGACTGGTCAACTAAGAAACTAGAATCCCTACCATCAAGCAACTAATTACATGTGATTAGGCCAAACACTGTATTATTAAATTAGTAGTATAAGTTATTAGCTGACCAGTTCGGGATTAATTCTTCTAATTCTTTCCTTTGTTTTCGAAGTCATAAGTTTAGTATACAATGTGTTTTGTCTCTTCTAAACACCAATTTTTTTTTTTTTTTTTTTTTTTTTGGGGGGGGGGGGGGGGGGGGGGGTAAGGGATGACCTAATTATATATTAAAGTTTCTTAATCTTAATTAAAAGACAGATATTATACAAGCTTTACATGGTTCACTCGTACTAATACATGGAGCTATCAAATATAAAGATATTATATCATACTATTATGGATCAACTATAAATGTGAATGCCATTACTATAATTAATGAAAAACGCAGTCAAAACGTCACTCTCCTTAGCGTTTTCTTTTGTAAAGTGTTATAAATGTTGCGTGTAGGAAACCTTTTCTTATTAAATATACAAAAAAGTTATAATCTCTTTATTTTGGACCTATAATGTATTTTTTAATTTAAAAAAAAAAAAATCTAACTCTATGGATAGTATGTTTGTCATTAATATTGGTTCACTAATTTAAAATCTTTACCCAACAATATTGATTTCCACCATAAACAATTTTCTCATAATATTGGTTCTTCAGTTGCTCTCTATTATTCACTAATTCCTTTCTAGACTTATTTGCTTCCACTAACTTGTTCCCTTACCAAGCTTTCTGCTATAGATGGAACCATCTCAAAAGATGGCACTCTTTAAATTAGAGATGGCCTCACTCTGGGTTCGGGCTAGGCCTGGGATATATTTATAAAATGCAAGCCCGAGCCTGGAGAAAGTCCAGGTTTTTTAATACCTGGGTTGGGCTGGACCAAGCCTTACATTGCCCAAAGAAAGTAACGAAATAATAAATTTTTATATCAAATTGAAAAGCAAAGTAAATATAAAGTTATTTGTCATGTTATATAATCTTTTATAATTTAAATAAAAATATCTAATATGACACATAATAATGTAATTTACCATATTAATGGTTGATATACAGTGTTGCTTGATTAATAACCTTGGTTGTAATTAGAAGCATGGTTTTAAAACCCGGCCCGATCGGTTCAACCGGTTGAACTGGGAACTGGTGATTAAGCCAAGTCGGTTCAACTAAAAAACCAAAAATATTAAATAACCTAGTTTAAACTGCAGTTGAACCAGATTTTTTGTTACGAACTGTCGATTCGACCCAATGGTTGAACCGCATTTTTATTATTTTATATGTCATGCTAACGTCAGAATGACATCATTACGCTGACATCAGCATGATGATATCACGGTTCACCAATGGTTAAACCGGTTCGACTGTCCAACCTGGTGACCAAATGACCTGACAAGGTCACTCCCCAGGTTGGGTTTTAAAACCTTGATTAGAAGTGGTTGTTGACAATATTTATTCATGTGAGACAATAATCTAATTTAGTGCATATAAAAAATTAGAAGTGAAAACTACACTTTGAGTCTCCATAGCTATTAATATGGGTGGCCACTAGAGCTCTTACTCGATCGAGAGTTCCAAAGTGTCAGGAGATTATACATAAGCTAGTCTGGACACTCTCGAGCATTAAAAAAAAAAAAAAAAATTAGAAGTTGTTGTCGAAGGACCAAAATCATAGAAACTAAAAAAAAAAAAAAAAATCCGAACAAACATACCCAAAGTTGGCGGTTTCTTGACTGAAGTGAAGGGCATCAATACAATACTACAGGAACATATATATCTAGGAAGATGGAGAATAAAAATACAGAATTCGTATACTATATTGTTCGTTTATCTACTCTTATATATTAACAACTTCTATTGAAAACGATTTAATTTTCATCTATAATTTTATAATCGCAAAAAGATTATACAGATGAATAAAATTACCGTAGCTCCAAGATTGGCTACTCTGTTTTTACACTAAAACCAATCTTTCGTTTCTTTATCTTCAACTCATAAACAAATGTTTAATAACGAGAACTTTACATGAACACATATCTTCCCCTTCTCCAACTCCAGCCGAGCTCCGGTGACCAGCCAGTGGCCGGGACTGTCCTGCGGCCCTTTACACAATTGTGAAGTATCAACAAATTTCAAAAGCTTCAGAGTCTGAACCGGCACCGGCGGCCCCGAAGGAAAAACACTAGAATCCAACACCACAACTGGCGTTTTCTCTTTAACTTGATGTCCTGTAATTGATGTACTTATTGTGGAAAAAAGACCTGACTTTTGGGAAAATCCTGCTGACCCTTGTGCCCAATTTGATTGTACTACAAAAGAATTTGAAACCTTGGAGAATAAGAGGCGGAGATGGAGAACGCTCTTGGATTCATGTTTTTGTACGTAAAGTTGAGCTCCAGTGACGATGAATGAAACATTTTTTCTAGTTGTCCATTTGGGATCATATTTAACTGGCGCTGTGCTTATATGAGAGAAATTTTTTCGATGGATCGGTTCGATGAATCGGTGGTCGGCAATGTCTTCTGATCCTCGCCACAATGGCATGTCGTGTATCCTGTTTTCAAGCACTGTTGGGGTGTTTGAGAGGTGTTGGAGGTGAAGGGCTAGCCTGCAGAGATCAAAAGAATAATCTGGTAAAATTTCGGAAACATAAACACAAATTGAAATGCCTTGATCCACGGTAAAGATATTGTAGATTTATCTCTTATCCATCTCAAATGTGCTTGGAGTGTGCTCCCCTTCATTCCATTATCAAGATATAGTAGATTTATTTGTTATCCATAATATTTTAACAATGAACAGGATGTTACACAAACATCAGCACATGTGAATTTCCATCGAAATTAAATTACCTGTTGCATTTCTTTCCTTCGAGATACAAGCGCATCCCAGTGACAGGTCTCGCCTCTGATGTAACCTGATGGACACAATAAATTTTGTTACTCATCACATTCCTGGAAAATGGAAAGAAAATTTCGAAGTTTTTTCAATCAAACGGACGTACCTGAATAGTGTTTACATATAGCTTTGGACCCATCATATGGAAATGGAGAGCAGGTGAAGGAGTACTCATATTTGAAGGACCGAGTGGAAGGTCATTGTGAACGGGAGCCCAAATTTTGTGATATTGGAAGTCAAGAAAGTACTGCAAATCAGCTATAGGAGGCTTGTCTGCAATTGCATATCAAATTGCAAAATTTAATTGAAGGATCCAAATGATTAATGAAAATTGATGAAGGCGAAGACTTACATCGAAGGTAGAGGTTGATGGCGTGCGATAAAAAGCCTTTTCCAGGAACCCCTTCAAGGAGAGAAGTGATGGGGATGAAGCTGAAATGGATTGCATCAGGATTTGATGACACTGTTGGAAGCCATTCACAGTGGCTACTGGCTGAAGTGTCACCTCCCCTCTTGTGGCATATTACACTGATTCCCTACAAACATTCTACTTCAATGTTAATTTAATTACATCAACATTAGTTATAACATATTAAAGGATGAACAACACTGCTTAATTATATTCAAACCTACATGTTTTGAACTTATGGAGGAAAAGCTGTTGAAGGCCACAGGTTCCGGATCAAATACATTGAAGGCTTCAGGTGTCTGCAATTCAAGAAAACAACTAATTATTCACTATTAAAGTTTCTATGTTAATGATTCATCACGGACAGACCTTATGCATTTTTTCTTTAGTTTTCGGGGCGAAACTGCAGGTCCCAGTGAAGAGTTGATCTCCGAGATTATCCAAATGTGTTTTAAGTTCTGATGGCCCCAAGTTCGAAGACTTATCTTGCTTGACTAGCACCACGTCTTGGCCTCCAACACTCAGCCCCACAACGACGTGGGTTCCATATTTCTCGATGAATCTGTCAAACAATAATGCAAATTCGGTGACATTTTCAATGGAGGAATTTATCATGCATTTGATGGTGAAATCGATGTTGAAATACAATGTTTAATTGAATTAGTTGAAATTCTTTTTGACATTTTTGAGTTTTTCATCTGGGGTATTTTGAATTTTCTTTTATTTCATCCTATGGAGTTCAAGCAAATTGGCAACTAAATGTCAACCTTTTGCCTTGTATTTTCACCAAACTCCACACAGAAAATTTCAAACGGAGAAAGCAGCTGTCACGTACCAATAAATAATAAACAGAAATCTGATTTGGGATTATTAGACGATACACTTACACCGTCTGATCGTGTGAAAAGAAAATCCTTTCAAAGCAAAGTACAGATATCAATGAGCTGGCACCATACGGATTGTTGATATCGTTGACTTTTTCATAATATTTCCAATGAAGATTGACTGGTCAACTAAGAAACTAGAATCCCTACCATCAAGCAACTAATTACATGTGATTAGGCCAAACACTGTATTATTAAATTTAGTAGTTATAAGTTTATTAGCTTGACCAGTTCGGGATTAATTCTTCTAATTCTTTTCCTTTGTTTTCGAAGTCATAAGTTTAGTTATACAATGTGTTTTGTCTCTTCTAAACACCAATTTTTTTTTTTTTTTTTTTTTTTTTTTGGGGGGGGGGGGGGGGGGGGGGGGGGGCGGGGGTTAAGGGATGACCTAATTATATATTAAAGTTTCTTAATCTTAATTAAAAGACAGATATTATTACAAGCTTTACATGGTTCACTCGTACTAATACATGGAGCTATCAAATATAAAGATATTATTATCATACTATTTATGGATCAACTATAAATGTGAATGCCATTACTATAATTAATGAAACGCAGTCAAAACGTCACTCTCCTTAGCGTTTTTCTTTTGTAAAGTGTTATAAATGTTGCGTGTAGGAAACCTTTTTCTTATTAAATATACAAAAAAGTTATAATCTTCTTTATTTTGGACCTATATATGTATTTTTTTTAATTTAAAAAAAAAAAATCTAACTCTATGGATAGTATGTTATTAAAGATATTGTAACTAAAATATAACTTCTGATACTATAATAAACAAAAAAAAAAAAAATATTAATATATATATATATATTATGCAAATTATGTAATACATTACCTTGAGAGGGCACAGGATCCCAAGAAGAAGGAACCGCATTACGAATTTCATCACACAGAACACAGAGATAGCGATCAATACGAAGATTGAAGAGTGTGATAAAATATCCATCAGTCCCAAATACTTTGTGTGGGCTGCATCAGTCGCCCATGACACGCTCTCAAGTTAAACATGGCGTTGAAATACCCTGATGGAATTTCCCTGGTATTGAATTCTTCTGGTTGAAAATTCTGACATCTGCCATAGTTTATTAATTTCTTTTCAGTCAATCAATGAAGAGGATGATGATGATGGAGATAGAGTTGAATTAATGAAATAAAACAAAATAAATATACCTTATTGAATTCGAGAAATCGGATTGGTAACGAGTAAGATCACCGTGACATTTGATATCGATGGAAACATCTTTGATGGGTCCAAAAAACAGGAAGATTAATGTTCTTTGATGTGTTTCATTGAGAAGAACTAACCTCTCTTTTCCTTTGCAATACTTGAGCTTAAAATCCGAAGTTAAATCAAAGCCTTTTCCAGGTGTTGAGGCTCTCTCCACATTTCAATGCTCATTTTCCCTATTATTATGATAAGAAAATTTGTGAAGTAATAAAGAGAAGATATATAGTTTTGAGGAATGGAAAAAAGTGAGCGAGGAGACTTGGTATTTGGTTTGATCAAAAGGGATGATAGAAAAGAGAGAAAATACGTGTGGTTAAGAAGGTCAAGACTGGTATATTAATGGGTTCTCATTAACAATTGAAGAAAAAGACGAAACTTAGAATATAGAGTGAAAGGAGGATGGGAAATTGGGGAGAGTGGAAGTTTCTTATACTATTTCTTGATTTGAGCAATTAAAAAGTTTGACGAGTAACGACATTTTCCCACCCAAGGTTTGGCGAATCTTGGTTCCCACCTGGTCTTAAATTACATATTCTCACCTTAAATTACATCACTTCTCTAAATAACCCTTACATCTCAAATTCTCTCAAATAACTCTCAGAGGATCCCGGCAAGCCAAAAATCGCCTGATTCCAACACCATTGGACCTCCCCGACATCACTATTACATTCCTTATCCTCCCCACCAAAACCCAAACTTTCCACCGATTGCACCTCACGAAGTGTCGAAATTTGGTGGAAAAGTACACAAACACGAAAACCTAAGCAAGGTGGGGTGATGGCGGGCAATTACGGTGGGTGTTGGGGGTTTGATGGGGGGAATGGGGTGATGCTATTGGTGTGTTGAGAGTGATTTCCAAGTCGGGAACTACCAGAATTTGGATGAAACACCGACTGAAACTAAAGCAGAGGTGGATTGAGGGGGTTAAATTAGGAGGGAGGTTAGGGTTTGATGTGGGGGTTGAGAGGATTGTAATAGTGGTGTCGGGAGAGGTCGATTGCCTAGGAACAAGCTGAATGACCTGAAATGCCAATGGGTGAATTTATAATCAAGGGTTATTTTTAAAAATTTCGTGGGTGAATTGGGAAATGAAGGGTTATTTAAAATTTTTATCTTGAATGATTTTACCTTTTAATGTTAGATTAAATAGTTTTATGTTAATTTAAGGGTGAAATTGTAATTTATAAAACTAGGGGGGAACTGGAGATTCGTCAAACCTTGGGTGGGAAATGTTGTTTACTCAAAGTTTGACCGTTGGATCCACAGTTATAAAAGTGGGTGCCTTGAAGTCTCCATTAGCTTTCACACCGTGTTTTATCTTGATTACAGGAAAATGAAAGTGAAATGGCAGGCCGCCCTTACTTGCCTCTCCATATGTCCCGCTTATATTTCAACAAACTTAAAGCCGTGCATGATAAAGAGTTGTTAATTTAATGCGAGCACTACATATCAATTCCAGGCAAATTTTGCGTTTTCAACAACTGTTGGATGGCTAGTAGAGCAAAAAGACAATGGTGTGTTACTAAGAGTTAGTTAAGTTCGATCATATTAATTTAATAAATATGGTTAATAAAGGTTTATCAATGTTAATTTTAGACGAAAGATTAATCGAGAAAGGTACAAAGTAAGCTGGCTCAAACACACCCAACAACAAAAAAAAAAAAAAAAAAAATTTGTGTTCTCAATGAAAAAATTTAATAGACAAAAAATTGGTTATATCAATTCAGATAATATATATACACCTTTCAAAACAACTCTATAATAAAATATTAATTTTACATTTATCTTCTAATAGTGTGATCACAAATATATCTAGTACAACTGTAAAAATAGTGGTATTGTAGACATAAAATCTACGGTGATTCTTAAGAAGTGATCATGTTGTAAGATCTAGAAGATGTCAATGATCTTATCCTTATATGACACTCCTTTCAAAATCAATCGTAAATTTTATCACTATAAGTGTCATAATTGTATTCCCATTAATAATGTGAGTCAGGTCAATGTGATAGATAAACTTAAAATCAAACCTACAAATTTATTTATATTACTAATAATGAAGTTTTATTTAAAAAAAAAAATGTGAATTTCTACACTTGAGATTGAAATAAACAGATTATAATCATCAATAGTAATGAAAGTCGTGTGCATATGTGTTTATTTCAAATACATAATAATTTAATCCATTTTTATATGTCTAGAAACGGGTATTCAAAGTTATGTGTACTCAATGTCCAAGTAAGTTTCAAGACTTATTCAAAGTAGAACTCCAAAATTAAATGATTTTACTTGGCAATTCAATAAGAAAAAATTTATCAGTTTTGAATTCGGGTCAATGGGTCCAAGTTTCACCGCACATAATCTCGTCAACTTTTCATGCACGATCCATAGCTTCAACTCAAGGATAGCATACTACGTCACGATTCACGAACACTCAATTCTACAATTCATTCTTATTGTTATTAAAAATATTCTTTTATTTTTATATTTTCCTTAATAGATAATATTAGGATTTAAATTATAGTATCATACCAAATCAATTTCATCTAGATCCCGTGAAATATAATATAATAATAAAATATTACTAAGATTTTTAAAGTAATAAACCTCTAATATTAATGAATTTTAAGGCGTTTAATAAAGACTCTTAGATTATATTTAAAGATTTTAATTCGAACTCTCTCTTGTTGTTAATAAAGATAGTTATTGAACTTTTACTTAATCGTAATTTAAGATCCTAAGAGATTATTGAGGTGCACAAACACCCTGATCACAAAAGACAAAAAAAAAAAAAACCCTTAATGACTATATGTTATAAGTTAGTAAACTACCAATTGTCGTCTTACCGTTTAATTTAACATTAAAACTTAACAACAAAGGGATTTCGTTATTTTTGAAACTTTGGGGATTATTGGTTGTATATTTATCATACCTCAGTCAGTAGATTGTTTAATATAAAACATTCTATTTTAATATTTTAAATCGTAAAATTAACAGAAACCCTATTAAAAAAATATATCAAAACCCTCTAAAATAAGGTATATAAACTTTTCAATACTAATAGTTGTGTTTCTAATTAAGCGATTCCATAAAGTAAATAAAATAAACCATGTAATTAATAAATAATGGTAATATTTGTCGAATTTTTTTTTTTTTGTTAGTGGTGTAGTTCAAATTAGAATTACTACAAGTTCTACATTTGATTGTCATATTTGTCATAATTTTGCTTTTTTTTTTTTTTTTTTTTCAAAGGGTGGATTCTTATGATTTTATCTATAAATAAATTATGCATATTAATCATTATCAGGTGAATTTCCAGCATAACTAAACCCAATTAGTCAAATTAACATTTTAAAATCTCAATTATTATTTCATCTTGAATATCCAAATAAAATCTATTAATCCATCTGTCTAATCACATGAAAAAATTACATAAAAGTAAAGTATCAGATTATCTGATCTCCATTTCAGACCAATGACTATCATTATTAAATTAAAAATTATTCTCAAATTAGCGTAGCTATGCTGTAATTCAATCCTTGAGAATAAGAATTTTATGCAAGTTGTTCAAAATTCAAATATGAATTGACGATTGATGTTCACACCCCTCCGCTTGCTTATACTTTCACAAACAAATTTATAGTTTAATGGATTTTTTCTTGGGTTTATTTGTTTTTTTTTTTTCCAAAAGAAAGTATTTCTTTTCAAGAAATAGGTCTATGTCCAAACGTGTATTAAAAAGTGGATTAAAATGTGAATTAAATGAGTTTAACACTAAGCGATCTCATAAGAAAAAAAAAAAAATTAAAAGAATATTTTAAGTTTTAAAAAGTAACTAAACCCATAATAATTAATTCGAAAGTAGAGAAAAATGT